GGGGGGGGGGGGGGGGGGGGGTCTATGAACTATTTGGGTTGGCACATTACGCCTCAATCCCTCATCTTAACCCTGATCTATCCTTACAGAACCTTCGGCACCCTAAACCTTGAACTCCAAGTCCCCGGTCGCCCACATCCTCAAGCCTCAACTCATTCAAACGCTGAGAGCCATGAACCCAACGTCTTATCCACCGGGAGCCCTTAACACTGCTAAATAAACAAGCAAACTACCCTAAATCCTAAATCATAAACCATAAACCCCAACCCCTAAATTTCATCCTAAACCCTAAACCCTANNCCCTAAACCCTAAAACCTCCAAAAAGCCGTCGAAAGCCTCAACCGAAAATGGCATTCTCGCCTGGAAAAGCCAGCAACCCACCGTCTCGATGAAGAGCGGATGTAAGTTGATCCTCAGCGTGGGTTTAACCTTAAGGACGACATGAACCCTGAAAGGGTCTAAGGTTCATATACCATATAGCAACTCACAGAAAAAGGGTACAGAGCCCCTACTTTAAAGGGTCTTTTCGTCCTTAAGGAAGGTTCTGGGTTTAGGGCGTAGGCTTTCCCAAAGGGCCCTATGTACTGCTATGGGGGATACTACTTCCCGAAATCATGATGGTACAAAAATGAAGAAACCCTACATTCTACTGTGTAGGTACATAGGGACCCCCTGGGCTTATGAGTGCTGCTGCAGTTTTTACAGGCTCGAGCCTTATGAACTCTTGTCGGCTTGAATTGAAAAAGCCGCTGCTCCTGTCGTTTGATCAATGCCAACGGTGTGTTATGGAGTTCCAAAAGGGTTTGTGAAGCTCGCAGGGTTCACACATAGCTTCCAGGCTTAGGGTGTTCAGGGTTTAGGGTTTACCGATAGGCCCCTAGGTAGGTAGTTCCTGTTTATAGTTTGTATTTAGAATCCCATAAGGTAATCCCAAAAGGAACTACATGGGTTTAGGGTTTGCTTGGTACGGAGTTGAGGTGCTGGCTTTCAGGGCTCTCGGGTTCAGGACGTCGTGGGCGATTGGAGAAACTGATGCCCGCAGATTCCCCATAGGTTCCATAGTAGTTCCTTGTTGTATGGCCCGACCTGAACCCTGTCCAACATACCCCTTTTTATTGCACTCCTTTTGGGGTTTAGGGTTTAGAGGGTCCATATACACTACCATTCTGGAAGTATGCCCCAAGAGACCACCCTTAATATGGTGGTGGAGAACTATAATTCCGGAACGGTAGTATACATGGACCCTTGGGCTAGTTACGATTTCCGTTTTATGGACAAGTCTCTTAGGGACCCAAAATACTACGGAACCATTCCAACAAGGACTTAAAAAGGGACCCCAACTTTGAGAACTAAGTGCCCTTTTATATGTCCTTAAGCAAAGTAGGTTACTTGGGGCTAAGGGAAGTAGGGAAGCCCTGCACTCTCAACCCCACAACCTAAGCCTAAACCTTGCACCCCAACAGCTACAGCGTAGAGCACAAATGTGCTTTGCCGGTCTGAGCCGGGTGTCATTCCTGTGGGATTTGCCATCTTGTATGCGGCGAGCTCGAAGACGCACCTGGAACACCATTTCTGAGGCCAGGTTGCTGTTGCTGAGTACCCTATAGCCCAACAAAGGCTAACCTTTCTAGTTATGGTAGGGTTATATGAAACGCAAAAGGTTTGAGGTTACCACCCAGTCCCCCCAGGTTCTTTAGGCTAAAGCAGTATGCAGGACTTACACACAAAGATCTCTAAACACAGGCCCAAGCTCTGAACAATCGTCGCAACCCTACTGCCTATAAACTGTGACCCCCTGAAACCCTGATCTGTAAAACTCGAAACAGTCACCACGACTCCCTAAACCCTAAACCCACAACTGCGCCCAGAAGCCAGAGACGCGAGAGGTAGGGCGGGCTCCACAAGACGCGCAGCTCCTTGGAGACTTTCCTCGGCTTTTACTTTGCAAGATCGAAGCTTCTGGGTTTAGGGGTTTAGGGTTCAGGGTTTATTTAGATCTAAGCTTCTGCTTTGGGCGTTGTTCGGCTTCGCTGTGTCTGTTGTACCCTAAGGCTCTAAGGGCTCATACTTTAAGGAATTTGGGCTATTTTGAGCCTTGGGAGTAGAGTTTGAGGCTTATGGGTTTCGGCTTCGGGCGTCTGCGGGGTGCTAGGATGAGATTTTGGCTTCAAGTTCCCTAAGGGTCCATGTGCCCAAATAGTGTATACACTGGCCCCAAAGTACTTCTATAGGGACCACTTTAAGGCCAAAGTATATCTGTTTGGGCACATGGACCCTCAGGAGTTTGTAATGGTCCAGGAACAGACGCATCAGGCAAGACAGCTAGGTGCTTCGAAGGAGCACGGCCCCCGCTGACTGTATTGTCGTTCCGAGACATCACTCAAACCCTAAACCCTAAACCCTACACCCTGAACCCTAAACCCTAAACCGTCCTTTAGTAGAACACCAGAAAATCCCTACATCCGCCGACCCCAGGACCCACATTTTTTGTTCAGGTCCGAAACCCTTGAGATCCACATAATCTCTCTCCCGCTCTCTCCGAAACTGGAAGCCCTAAGCAACTCCCTGCACCCAAGCTGCAGAAAGCCACCCAGGCCATAGATGCCGCGCTCCATCAACGTAGGATCTGTCTGATGGATGCTGACCTCATTCTCGATGACTCGATGACAGACTTACATACCGGGGGCTTGGGAATTTCCAGGGCTATAGGGGCCTGCGGAATGGAATCGGGAGTAGGAATCCCCATTAAAAATGACTAATACAATAGACTCTACCCAAGCCCTCATCGATTTATATACTACCTATAGTCTCCATAGTAGTTCCTTTTTTTGGTTTAACCAAATCTAAATTAAGGATCCTAAAAGGCAACCCCAACAAAGGAACTACAATGGAGACTATAGGTAGGCTTGAAGGTTTGGGCCTTCTTCATGTAGAGGTCCCTGGGGTGTGCTGGATCTCCTGCATCTCGGGCTTCAGGTGGACCCTCATTTAATTTTTTACGCCTAAACCTGAAGCCATATAGCTTCATCTCTAACCTAGGACCCTGAGCCCCGAAGCCCTGAAACACAAGATCCGTAAAGGTCCGGGAGTCTAGGGAATTGTTGTCTCAGATGGTCCACGTGGGGTGACCCTAGATTAATACATGCTGGTTGCAGTCTCTGTCGATTTAAACCACTATACACCCCCCCCGCCCCCACCAAACCCCAGTCTGAAAATGACGGCCCCTAAAAAAGCACCCTTCTTGTTGTAACCCGTACGTCAACCCTTAGTACAACCTGCAAAGAAACCGAAGAGAAATCCTATTCTGACCTGTAATTCCCAGGTTCAGGAAGCTGGTGGCCGTTCTCTTGAAGGTTGCATGTTGAAGCCGTAGCCCCAAGGAATTTTCCCCTAACACCCTATAATACATAGGGTTCTACTGGGGTTTTATGGGGTTCTGTAGCGTTCGATGAACGTTTCTAGTGCCCTAAGGAGTGGCGAAGTTGTGCTTGAAATGGAAGGCGGAGGGCATGATCGGCATAGCCTTGACATGTTCAGGCTGCAAAGCCCAGAAGACCCTCATGGAACCCTATAGAACCTTTAAAAGGGAACCCTACAGAACCCTATATGGCTGAGGGTTTAAAACCGTAAACTCTACCAGGACCCCCAAGGTTCCTTTAATAAAGCCCTTATGGTCCTTAATTCTGGGTATTTGAAGTAGCTGGGGGGTCTAGGTAGACCCTAAATTTCCCAAACCCTGGACCCAAGCTTGGTGCTGTGTGCTTCAGAGCCTAAAAGGTTCAGTCCCCTCGAAGCAGCCTCTAAATCTAAGCCTAAGCCCGGAAACCCTGTTCAATCATGGCGGGGAAAACGAGCACCACAAGCCTAAACCCACAGGGTATGAAGTTGAATGAGGAATTACTGTGAAAACCTACGGGCGTAACCTGCACAAGCCTGAATGAAAGTCCGATAAAGCACCAGAACTCCAATAGAGCAGAGTTTGGGGGGGTATGTACAGCAATACAGTATACTTAGTCGAAAAAGAACAGTCGAGAATAGTATTCAGGCATGTTGTAGATTGACCTAAAACCTAAACTTTAAATCTTAAAGCTCAATACTAAGTCCGGCGCCACGTCCAGGAAGCAGGTGTCCGACGTGCTGCATACATCGGGCAGGTGGACGGAGACAAGCAGTCCTGGAACCAGTGGGTTTAGGGCTTCGGGTATCTGAGTGTAGGGTGATGGGGCTCTGGGTCTCTGAGTGGAGGGTGCAAGGCTCAGGGGCGTGGGGTCTCTGAGTTTAGGGTTTAGGGCTTAGGGTGTCCAACCGGTTCTGAGGGCTTAGGGTTTAGAACTTTACTTGATGGGTTTTCAGGGTTCAAGATTAGGGTCCAGGAGGTCCCACAGGGTCCTATGTACTGTTATGTGGGGTACTCACCAAGTCATAGTAGTGATTCCCAATGTAGATACCCTACATTCTACTATATAGGTTTTGGTACATAGCACCCTTTGGGTATAAAGGCGTCTTCAACGATGGTTTTCCTGAAAAGGAGCCGAAGACGGTGTCCCTTTGAAGGTTGGATTTACAGATTTTGGTTTTTTGCGCGTAAGGCTTAGAAGGGGTTCTTGAGGGGGAACCCTTATAAGAACACCCTTAAACCCTAATCAGTAGGTACTTTCAACCCTTAGGGCACCACTTTGAAAAAAAAAACTAACTGCCGACGGGAGGCCCAGCATGAGACTCACAGTGCCGATCAGCATGACCTGGGATGATTGTCGAGTTTCGAAACGTGGGGTTTAGGAGTTTGCCAGTGTCTTCCATTATCACACCGGTGTAATCATCAGTACTGCCTGGAAGATTGGGTGTAGTGTTAAGGGGGCAGTTCCAAGTGTTGGTGAATTCGGGCTGGTTACGGCTACGAGGCTTGAAACTTAGTTCAACCCGAAACCCCAAATCCAAAATCCTCTCACCGAAACCGTACAAACCTTAAATCTTGAGTCCCTGCACCCTAACGCCCTAAACACTGAAAGCACCTTAACAAACAAGAAACGAAACCTTCAAGCCTAACTCTGTGTATTGCGGGTGCAGCAGAGTTGCCCAAATGCCAACAGGGACGTACGCCTGCTCGAAACCTGGCAGCTCGATCTCCATGGTGCCTCTCCGGAGGAAGCCGTTTAGGGTGTAGGGTTATAGGAATTCGGGGTATAGGGTTCACTAGGGTTTAGGGTTTGACAGCGGAGAGATGCCGAAGTGCTCTAGCAATGAAGTGCAGGATCGCAGCTGACACAGAAGAAACGATAGGCCAGGCCGAACGTGGCGGATGCTTTTCCCCGGTACTCTGCTTGCGCACTCGTAGCTGCGATAGACATTGAAAGCATGTCTGAGCTCCACAGTGACTCTGTCACTTGCATTCGTCCCTCTCCCCTCCCGCTCTAGAGAAGGTTCAAAGATCAAACCCCTGGTTGAAAACACACGGTCGGTTGCTGATATCCGAGCTGTTCGCTGCTGCTGCTGCTGCTGCTGCTGGTAAGTCATCTTTGCCTCGGTCAAGAGGATCTAGACCTTGAGATTTCCGACGTCTCGCTGACTTCATCTCCGGGTCTTCCACGATCTTCCACTGGAAATCCATCCTGTAGAAAAGTTCCAATTCCTTAGAGCCACCAGCCTTAGTCAAGGAATTGGCCAATTGGGCCTCTGAGTGGACCCAGCGCAGGACCACCCCTGCGCGTTGCTGAGCTTCCTTCAAAGCAATCATCTCTATATTCGAACGTTTCTCTGCCCCCTTGATCGCTAAAACTTCACAGTTCAGTTTGTCAAACACATTCCGGGAATCTGTCACCACACAACCGGGGATGGCTCGAACTCCTTCATCCGGATTTCGTGTGTCTGAAACTCCAAGAAGCATTCCACTAAGCTGAAAGCGGGCAAAGTACAAGCAGTCCTCTCCATTCACTGCCGCTTGAGTCTCTGCAGCCCCGGGGCTGCGACAAGATCTATCTATCCTGTTGCTGTGCCAACTGATCAAGTTCACATGTCCTAGCTCGCCATTCTGCAAACTGAGAGGACCCACACCAATCACTATCCCTTGGGTACTGCCGCCATCCGGCCTGTTCTGGCTCCCGGCGTCAACCCATGCATACAGACAGATTTCTTCCCCAGGTTCGAAAGCGCGGATCTTGATGGTGTAATCCTTCCGGGCCTTAGCACTCTGTACCAGCAAATTGGTCCTTAGCATAGTGTCCACAGTACTCTGGCTGACCTCCGAAAGGAGTAACCCCACCTCTGCTGACAGGTGGGGGGCGGTTTGTTGAGCGTACCAACTCAACGCGCCAAGGGCCGCGCGAAGTGCTGACTTCTCGCGGTCAGAAGTGGGGAGATTTCTCTCCCTCCGTCGCTTGGCACTCAAAGGAATTTCCTCAATGTGTTCCTCTACATACCGGGCTTGTGAAAGTTCGAACCCTTCCTCAGTCTGAGAAATCTGAACCCCGCACTGAGTGAACACCTTGGACTCCCAGTCACCCCACTGAAAACGCGATTTGATCTTTTGAAGGATGCTCTGCCATTCCTGGTCGGCGTCCGAACCTCCAAACAGGAAGTCGTCCACGTGTCCCGACACAACTCCTCGAAGCTCTCCTTGAGGTCGCCAGACCCACATGCAGGCATCTGCCCATGTCCGGGTGAGCCCCAGTGACTCCAGAAACTCATGGACTGTCCTGTACCACTCCAGTGGCGCGTCCACCAGGCCGTAGCATGCGCGACGTAATCGCGTCACTGAGCCTTTCGGCAGATTCATTGCTTCACAGATCTCGTCACAAGGGATGCAATGAAGGACTCCCGGATATTCTCGGCCTTGGAGGAATGCTCCAGACACATCTCCTTTATATATGGTCCACTTTCGACCTGCTGCTTCATGAAGAATGAATTGTCGTGACTGCCTCGTCATGACAGGAGCTGTAGTTTGTCGATGTTCATACGCCGGGTCTTGATATCCTAATAATACCGCCCTTGCCTTTGCTTTGCGGCCTCCATCATCACGTTGTTTCCATGTCAGCACCCACCTCATGCCAATCGCCTGCTCCTTAGATGGTTGGAGGTGCGAGGGAAGCGCTTCGAAAGCTTTGGCTGCAAGAAAGTTCTTCACTTCCACCATTTTGGCTGCCTTAAACTCCTCAAGTTCTGGAGGACCCAGTTTTCGCTCGCAAACTTCCACGTTGCGCTTCTTTAAGGCACTGGTGAAGAAACCTTCAAAGTTGTTGATCATCTTGAGACAGCCTCTGGCCGACTCTGGAACATCCACTCCAACCTCCACGGCCGATGCGGCATCGGTCCAATAGCTAGTAGGGCCGTCGGACCAGCATTCCTTTGGGACGTCTGTCCACCAGCATGCTCCAGTGGCGAAGGCCTCTGAACTGGGCGCACTGAGTCGCGGTCGTTGAGGTAGTGATTCACCCTCCCCATCGGACATCGTCTGGTCCTCGGTAGGTTCTGGCGGGGCACCGCTCGACGAAGGAGGAGGTCGCTTGTGATTCACCCGGTATCGCACCGGCTGAACCTCCTGCGTGGGGTCCTGTGCCCTCTGCCACTCACTCTCTGAAGGAATAGCCTGTTGGCTCAGGTCCTCGTACTGGTTGCCACCAATCTCCTGAGCCACTCGATGGAATGTCCAGGGGATTTTCTGATCCCGTGAGGCTAAAGCCTAGATGAGCTCCTCCCTGGGCGAGGCGTGTCTCAAATGTTCCGGCGCGCACTTGATCAATTGCCGGCCTCGTACCAACCAAATTGCGCTCCCCGGGCGCACCAGGCCTTGCTGGTCCTTCTTTGTCTCTGTCGCCAGGATCCTGGCCGGGCCAAGAAATCGGCCCTTGTGGGTCCCGGGTGCGGACTTGTGCTTGCCTGATTCTTGCGTCCTCCAGAAATATACTAGTTCTCCTGGCACGTAGTCCCGAACCGGTCTGGCTCGTGAGTGTTTCGCCCGCAGTAGGCGCTGGTGCGCCTGCCAATCTGCAAACGCCTTTTCCGCTGCACTTTGTCTTTGAACATTCCTCTCAAACTCTCCGTCAGCATTCTCAATCTGCAGCTCATCTGGCACTCCATGTGCCTCGTTGATGAGTCGCCCGGTGGTGTCTGTGGCTCTTCCAAAGGCATGCTGAATCGGAGAGAACCCTCGAATGACTTCACGCTGATTAAACACACGCACCGCACAGGACAGCAACTCAGCTGGATCGGCCTCTGGCTCTTCTTGAGCCAGCTTGTGCAACGCTTCTTTGAGACCCTGGACTGCCTGTTCACACGTTCCGATCTGCCAGTGGGCCTCTCCTGGCACGATGTCATGAAGGATTTGATGACGATCACAGAAATCCGTAACCGCTTGACTTCTGAAGTACCCCGCCGGATCCACTCTCAAGCACCTCGGATTTCCGAAATACTGGGTCCACCCCTCTCGAAGATACTGAAGACATGTAGCTGAGGAGGGTTGCTGTTTCTGGCCTCGGGTCACTATGCGGGCAGTTCTGAAGCGAGAGCCTTCATCGATGATGACCATGAAATTAATGTGTTCGTGCGTATGCGGGTGTTGCCAGCTACCGATGTCCGTTGATATGGTATGCCACTTCGGGGGAAGGGGCTCCAAGGAAGCAACGTGTTGCGGGGTCACCTTGGCCCGCTCAAGGCAAACCGAACACTTGAATTGTTTGGCTAACTCAATAACCCTGGAGGAAGCATTTCTCCTACGGAGGGCTTGGATGAGGTTTCGTACACTGCCGTGTCCAGTGGCAGCGTGGAGAAGGTACAATTGCTTCCTAATCTTTTCGTCTTCCTTTTCGCGACTGTTTTTGAACTGGTGGCTTCCAGACTGGGGGCCTTGGAGCACCTGAGCCTCTTCTACCCTGGGGCTCGCAAAGCCTCGCTGTTTCAACTCTTCGCGCTGTTCCGGGGTGACATGGACAAACCCTCGACCAACAAACGCCGTGATCACTAACCGCTCCCCTTTCCACGGGCATGTCCCGTGCCAGGCCTTGGGATCGAAGCTGATCCACTGGCCCGCCAGCGGCCGCTTCTGTCCGTAGACGGTGGTCCCATCTTCGCGTACCTGAGGAGTGAGGTTTTGCGGGTGTTCGGGATTAGGTTCGTGTACCCAGAGTTCTCCTCCGGTAAACTTACCTAACCCCAGAGAATGGTTTGGATACCGTGAGTCGTTGTTGACATCTCTGTGCAGAGGCATCCGATTGTTCTTGCTAATTGTAAAGGAGGTCCAGTGGGCCTGACTACCGAGTTCTCGTCTCAAGAATTGGTTCACATAACGAGTCACTTGTGGCTGCAGGGTAGTACGTCTAGTGATGCCATACTGAGACCCGTAGCTGTAGAGGCCAAAGGTTCCATACTGTGCTCGGCCTCCTGCCAGAAGGGTTCTCGTTTTCAAGAAGGGTCTATGGAGGTCCATGGTTTGCAGAAGTTGTTCACACGCGGCATGTGAATAATCTCGCTTCGCAGTAAGCTGTCGAGCAAGGTTCTCAGCGGGGTCCTCTTGGGCCTGCGCTTGGAGGGCTTCAGTAGCTATGGACTGCGGGGCTTCACCATTGGGTTCCTCGAGGGGCTGGCTTGTGGCCTCCAGGCTATCTTCGTTGAGGGGCTCGGGCTTCCAGGTTAAGCTTGATTCCTTCAGACAGCAAGAACACTTTTGTGACGGCAAGTTCGGAATCTGAAGCTCCGAGCAGACACATGTGTCGCCGACCCCGAAAGCCTCTGGGAGACCTGTACGGCCGGCGAGCTCCTGAAACACTGCTTGATGGCTGAGTTCCTGCAAAACGTATTTCGCCGCTCTCTTGGCAAATTCTGGAGTATAGAGACTGTCTGGGGCTCCACGAGGTTTCGTGGCGCTCGCATGAAGATAGTTTCGGGGACACCTACAGGGAAGGTTCAGGGCTTGAGCTAACCTAGCATGTGTCGTCAGAATTCGCCAGCCGTTGCGAATGAAGCTGCCTCCCGGAGTGTCTCGGAGGTTCACAGCACAGCCCTTACAAGTCACATCATGCAGTTCATATTTCCTCTGCATCTGTGTCAGAAGAGGAAGCCTCCAAGCCAAACAAGAATCCGTCATGGCCCAAACCACATGAATCCCCTGTTGTACGCAGAAATGAAACAAGACGCTGCATCCTAC